CGGGGGGGCTGGGAGGCTGCCAGGCACGGGCCTGGCTCCTCGCCGCCGCACGAGCTTCCCAGCCCTCACCCCAACCACGCTCGACTGTCACCTCAGCCATCACCGCCGCTTGTTCCCGCTTTTCCTCTCTCTGTGGCAGCCATCCACCTCCAGTTGGGGAGTAGCGCGTGTGATGTGTTTCAGCACAAGGCATTCTCCCTGTTCTTTCGCTTTTCATCCTAAAGACTTGTTTTTTCTGGAGGTGTTTGGAGATCTGAGATTTTTTTCTTTGTTTCCAAATGATGGGCTTTTTCGATCCTCAGCCCACAGTGCTTTCTATACATGCGCATTCCTGAGTTTATCAGAGGTCAAAGAGGAAACTTTAGGAGGTTTGGATACGTTTGGAAATAACCAAAGTCTATAAATCATTTTCACAGTTCCTTGTGCAAGTCTTATCAATTATTTCTTGTTTTCTCATCTGCAAGGTTATGGAGTACCTCTACAATGGCCAATACTGTCACAGCAGTTACAGATTAATAACCTGCTTAATTATCTAGTTGTGTTAGACCTTTTTAGATTTACAGGTTTAACAACTGTGTAATATTTGTTGCCGTGTAATATTAGCAGCTTACTTAAGCATCAAGACAGCTGTGGTGTTTACTTGTACCTCAATTGCTGGGAAGCCCTTTGTCTAAAAGCAATTCAGTCAAAGTTGGTTTTATATTAGGAATTTGTTTGGCATTTGAGCTTTTCAGAACATTCATGTCTTTAAATTCATACACTAGAGCATGTTACATTTCAGCATCTTTTGAAATTATCACTCAGTGCAATAGCAATGAAAACAGTTTTTCTCTAAAAATGTTATTCTGTTGGAAACTGTAAATGTTTTCTAAACAGCCTGTAACATTTTCCTGTAAAAAATAATAATTTTATTTTTCCTGTGTATATTTGTTCAAGTATGCATACAAATGAAAATTAGACTTGGTAAAAGAGTGTTTAAAGTAGTATCTCCAAAGTCTCCAAAGCAGTGATTTTCAAAGATTTTTTTTGCACATGTATGTACAGATGCATAGAGATACATTATATATAGTGGTCTGCAGACGCTTCTTGTTCGCTGTGTCTTGTATTTCTCAGATTAAGTACAGGATTCAGGTGATAACAGAAGAAAGTTAAGCCCCTAAATCACTATCACCATTTAGATGTGCAAAGAATGTGTAAACAGTAACAAATGCTTTATAATGTTTCAGTTTCCTTATGAAAACTATTTCAGCATTTTTCTTTTTGTTTAACGTATTTTCAGGTATCTGCACTTTAATCAAATAGAAACGTTGGAACCTGAATCCTTTACCCATCTTCCAAAACTTGAAAGGCTGTAAGTTTTGTTTTTCTTGGGGTAAGATTCAGAAGTCAGCTTGCTTCTTTGTTTGAATTAAATCAAATGTTTGAAACTGGAAAATAATATTATTCCCATAGATTATTTTTAATCTGATTTTTTTTGTTGTAACTACTGCATAGTCTTTGCCAAGAACACTTTGGTCAGGCTGACCTTAGCGGCATGCGGAAATGAGCGTCGCCGGTGGTATATTTTTTCTATTGCAAAGCTATTTCCAAAAAAAGCTGTGATCAATGCTTGGCCTAAAATAAATGTTATGAATGAAGAAATAAGAGATTTATGTTATAACTTTTTTTAGTTTCTCTTTTGAATACTTACCAGCTCTCTTTGATTTGATTAATTTGTGTCCCTATGGCTTCTTTTTCCCCTTGTGGATATACCAAATACACCTTTGAGGCCACTTAAAAAATAGAAGCCAATGAATTGCTGGAAAAGGTTCGGTTTTTATTTTATTTTTTAAAAATTATTTTATCTTAAAGGACTTTCAGAAGAATGTAAATGAAAGAAGTATATATCAAAATCTGAATTATTACATTCATATTTCTGTGCTTTTTAACAGATTTTTGCATAACAACAGAATAGCTCATTTGATTCCTGGAACATTTAGCCATTTAGAATCTATGAAGAGACTGTAAGTAAACTGAATTATTATTGCAGTAAAGAAAATTTAAATAATCTAATTATACTGTATATTTATCTTGTTTGCAAATGCCTTTCATTGCATAATTTTTTTTAAAAAAAACCGTGTTCGTAAGCTGTGCTGCAGTTCTTTACATACATACATTGAGACCATTGCTGACTGACTATGTAATTGTCTTTGTTTCTTACCTTGGAATTATTCGTAATCATATAATCATATATTCTTGTTCTGTAGACTAAATAATATAGAGTGATCATTTTTTGTTTCTCCCCTGTTGTCTGCATGGGTGATTATTCTGTGATGTCTTTCAATTTTGGTTTATTTTTGGTATTTTCTTTTGTTTTACTTGTCCTTATCTGATGATAAAATCATGATTATAAAAAGGTATTACTTACAAAAACAATCCCAGAAGCTGGTTCTCCTTTAAATGCTTAGAAAATCAGATACTTCTTAGTCCCTCAGTAGCATTTGAAAACTCGAAATCAGTAGTTATGAGTACTGTAATAAGGTGAGTTGCAGAGGGTTTTCTGTCCCAAACTTTGGGTCTCCACTGACCTAGGATAGACATTGTTTGGATTACCCAGGACTGGCATTCTGAGAAAGGCAGCCATGCGTTCATGCCCCTCTTGCTGGGAGGACTGCTGAGAGTGTGCCCTGCACCAAGTCAATCTTGCACAGCTCAAGCTTTACCAGGAAAAGAGATCTCAAGGGACATAAAAGGACGGTGGTTTAGGACAGTTGTGAAACCGTGCCTTTAACTGTGGGCAAAATGCGAAAAAGAAGGTAAATTTTCATGATGTATGTACCTTCCAGTAATAACTGTTTCGCTCACACCTCCCTTAAATTCTTGAGTTCGAGTGAACACAAAGGGATAATTCTTCACATAATGCCTGAGCGGAAGATAATTTTAATAGTGACTATTAATGGAACAGAACACTGGGCTTGGCTGACCTGTTGTCCTCTGACCTGGCACAGCTTATCGCTAAAGGTCACATCATGACTTCCATGTTCCAGATGTAAATTCTACTGTAACATCCAATATATTGGGAGGTATTTGTGCAGTAACTTAAAAAGTACCTTTGGTTTTACCAGTTTCTCATAGGAGAACAGGGAAGAAATAATATCTGGGCATTTGTACAAAAGGTTAAACAAAATTAAAGCAGAAAATGTTCAAAATGTTTACTACCCTCAAAGATATGCCAAACTGAGGTTGCTTTGCCATGCAATTTTATTTCCAATCTATATATAGATATATTTAATGTTACAGATTCCTGTACTTACTGTTTGTTTTTTTCCTACAGGACCCCTCACTAGAAAGTGCAGGGCTCCATTTAGTAACAGGGACCTTCACTACTAGAAATTCCACTGAATTAATGGGTTTTCATTATCTACAATAGACAAGTGTTTTATGAGGTTACTGACCCACTGAATGCCACAAGAGCTTAATACTTAAATAAAAAACTGTGTCTTTGTTTCAGCTGCCTGATCAGCAAAACGTGAAGTTGTAAAAACATCAGGTTAGCTGTGAAATTACTGCAGTAATAAGTATTAATCACAAAAAAAAGTAAAAATGGGGAGAATGTTGTAAGTTCCTTATTTAAGCAAAGTGTGTGTAATGTCTTAAATAAAACCTGATTTATTCACTGAGTGCTGGGATTAAAAAAGAAATGTTGTTTAGTTGCTTGCTACATTGAACACAGTCCTACCCACGCAGTGAAAATAATATGCTTTTTTGTGATAAAGACTGCATATAAATAGAATGCATATAAGCAAGTAACTGTCACCTGTACTCCATATCGCCTATTGTCTGTATTCACAGATAGAGATGCCGCTGGTGTTGCAGAACTGTGTTGATCCTAGCAAAAGAGTTGAAGCTTACTGAAAGGTGTTGTGGCTGCTTCTTCTTTTGTGCAGGCGTTTGGATTCAAATGCTCTTCACTGTGACTGTGAGATCCTGTGGCTGGCAGAGCTGCTGAAGACATACGCAGAGTCGGGTAATGCTCAAGCAGCAGCTACCTGTGAGTATCCGCGAAGGATCCAGGGAAGATCAGTGGCCACAATAACTCCGGAAGAACTTAACTGTGGTGGGTTTGCCACCTCCTGATGGCTTCTTTAATCTGTTAAATGAACCTAAACTCTTTTTTTCAGTTTAGTTAGAATTTATTGTTCTATGCTCTGCTATAACTGACCACCTTTGGTCAATATGGGTTATTTCCAGAAATCTCCCTGTGTTTCTTCTCAGTTTTTGTCTGATTCTGACAGAACTGATTGCTTTTACTCCTCAGCCTATCTTTAATGAAACAAATATACTCATGTTTGAAGTTTCTTCTTGAGGAACTAACTGTCGTTATCTGGAAAGAGTTTATTTTTCCATTTTATATTTCAGTTTTGATCTAAAAGGATTGTCAACTAGGGCCTTTGGTGTTACATTAATAGTGGTTAGTGTCCTTTATTCTCTTCTGTACAAAGAAAAGGGAAGAAAGAAACTGTACAGAATTGCTCCTGATTTCACAGGAGTTTTAAAACTCTTGTTGATATTATTGGAATTGGCTTGGGCTGCTGGATTTCCTTTTCACTCAGCTGTACTTACAAGGACTGCCCTGCACAGGCACTGAAATCCCTGTCGCTAAAGCTTAATGGATAAGCACTTTTATTATAGTCCTCCTGTTTGCCTGTGTTCCTTCAGCCTCAGGGTGCAAAGGTTTGACCCAGTGGGCACCCTGGGGCTCAGCCCCACACCTATTCTGTGTCGAAATCAAAGTGCAGGTTTTTTATCAAGATATGGGCATTTCACTGCCCAGAAATGTGGGTATAAAATAAGTAATTGTCCTTTTACTTATTTGTTGGATGTAATTTTGATCATAAGAATTATGACTGTAAGCATCAACCAGTTTCTTGGAAAAGGTAGTAAAAAGGAGATTTAGTGCAAGAATAATTCTTAAGGCATCCTACTAGCTCTCTGCACATCTGAGGAGCCTGAATATGGAAACTGCAGGAAGCGAGCAGGACAAATTACTCTGTAGGAGGCAGGTTAGGTACTGATACTTATCTAGAGGAAGTTATTTTAAATAGCACATGTACTTAGTGCTTTAAAGGTCCTCCTTCATAAGTAAATTGAGCCTTTGTTCAAATAAATAAAACAGCTACTTCAGAACTTGATACAAATTTGCACAATCCGTTTCCAGTCTGCTAAAGGTCCTAAGGAACAGTGGAAGAGGTCAGAAAGGCTGCAGTCACTTTTGCATAGGGAAAAGTAAGTTTAATCCTGATTAAGCATATAAATATTTTAAGTTAAAACATTTGTGAAGAATATTTTTTCTACAACATGTATGGAAAATGTTTTATTTAGTATTCTTTAGTAGTTTTAAAACAAGTAAGAGTACCTTGTACGTTTTATTGTTGATACAGAGAGGCCAAGAATTACATCAGAGCCTCAGGATGTGGATGTTACATCAGGGAATACAGTGTACTTCACTTGCAGAGCTGAAGGCAATCCGAAACCAGAAATTATCTGGCTTCGAAACAAGTAAGTTTAAAAGAGGAAGAGAGAAACTCGATGTAAGTATGTTTGTGTATGTACGTTTCTGTGTGCATGTCCACTTGCATTACATGCTTATATATGGAGTAGTTACAGCAGAAACATAATTTTAAAAAGTATGTGAAGTAATAAATGCCCAGATCTGTTTTCATAATAATTCTAAACACTTAAGAGCTGATAACTTTAGAAAAATATTAATTTATGACTAATACTGTTGGTAAGGTTTCCAGCTGCATTTACACCTGTAAAGCTAAGATCATTTAGGTGCAAGTACCAGGCAACTCAATACGGACATGTTGCACATGCAGTTTGTGGATTAGCTAGTGTTTGTGTGCATTCTGAGGCAGAGCAAAAGCTACTTTTTTAAAGGACTCAGCTGGATCAAAGTTAGGTTTCAGAGAAGGTCCTCCTTGAGCCCCAGCTCTGTGGAGGCAGCTTTCCTCCAAGTTGTAGCTCCATGCCAGGACAGGAGAAATATATCAATTTCCAGGCTCCCCCAGACCAGTACATGGAGGGCAGGCAACTGCTTATTGTAGGGCAATTCAAGCTGGAGGGCATCAGGTGGTCTCCAGTGCAGCTTTCTGTTCCAAGCAGGATCATACCAGGGTGCTTTATCCAGCTGGGTGTTAAAAGCCTCATAGGATGAAGGTAGCAGAGGCTCTCTGGGCAACCTGCTCCATTGCTTTTCCTCACTCCTTAGGGGATAGAGGGAGGGTCTGAGAAGACTGTGTCTTCCAGCAGCCCAAGGACCAGCCGGCTGCAGGGTGATTGCTCAAGCTTTTCCCAGAGCCTGGCTCCCTCCGGCAGCTCCGAGCACAGGATGACTGACCCAGCCCCATGGCAGCACATCACCCCCTTTAAAGTGTTGTAAATTTACAATGGACACATGAATTGTGAGATTACCACTAGCTTAATCAGACTTTGGCTTAATAATGCACTTACACACATGGAGAACTGGATCCAGAACATAAATTGGTGCCCATTTAGTTTGTTAGTTGCTGATAAAATGGAATGACATAGAGTCCTGGTTCTGTACCTTTGTGCTGAAGTCGGTGAGAACCCCCCGCACAGCAAAGGTACAGTGTCTATGGGGTATGTCAAGAGCAGAGCCTTGAACTTTTATGCTATAATTATTTAATTAAAATTTTCTTTGGCTCATGTATTTCTTATAATAAACTAAGAAAACATGTATGCAGAATACACATATGAAAGAGTTTTAAGAAGAAATTTGAGCTTGGGGCATGGGATTATTGACTCTGGCTTGTTTCCTGGCTGCATGAATGAGAGCAAAGCTCTTTGCAGGGTAGTTGAATATGGCAAGATTTCAGTCAAAAGCCATTGACCCATTGAGCAGTGTGTTGAATAGATGAGCAGTAGGCTGGGTTTTGTGCGTAGAGGGCAAGATCTCATCCCTCCTCTGTGCTTTCTTCACCATGTACTGATGGATGGAGTGAGAAGCAATTGCTTTAATAGAAACCCATGACTATTCTTAGTTAATGTCACAGAAATGCATCCATAACATAGCCTGAAGACCTAATCTTGGCATACATTTCTAGCTAGTACAAATCAGGTTTCTTAGTGCTCTTTAGGCAATCCCGACAGACATTGGCACAAAGATGGTTTTATAGCAACTAACTCCTCTCTCTAGTAGAAAGTATCTTGAGTGTTGCACTTTCATGATACATTTCCAGTGAAAACATTTTGAATTGATTTGGCATTAAGATTTGCCTTAAAGGAAAAGGAGACCAGATATGTGTATTTTATGCAGTTCTTCCCTTTAAGCTTTTACTCATAAAAATATTTTGGCTTTTAATTTTGAAGATGTATTGCTTGTGTAAGCAAAGTTGGTTGATTTTTTGTTTTTCCTTTTTTCAGGAGAAAACTAAAAATTCTATAACTTAACTCAGTAGAACTGTTTCCCCTCCCAAGTTACTTTGGGTCATATATTTTTGAGTTTTGTTATTTGGCAGTTTTCTGTGCTTTTGATGTAAAGGTTTAACTCCAGCAGATTCTTTTCTTCACAGTAATGAGCTCAGTATGAAAGAAGATTCCCGTCTAAACTTGCTAGATGATGGCACATTAATGATTCAGAATACTCAAGAAACAGACCAAGGCATTTACCAGTGCATGGCAAAAAATGTGGCTGGAGAAGTGAAAACTCAGGAAGTTACTCTTAGGTACTTTGAGTCACCAGGTAAAGAACATCAAGATTGAATTTTGCATTCAGATAGAGAACTGTTTTGATAATAAGATTGCTAAAAATATGAAGCTTTGGATCTCATATGTTCTTGACATGTAGAGTTTTTGTGCTTGAGTATCTTAAGAACTAGATCATTAAATGAGATATCCCTAGAACAAAAATGCAATTCGGGCAATTAATTAATATATTTACTGTAGTACGAAATTCTGATAGTCTTGCAGGCTGCTGCATTGCAATGTTGCTTGGTACAATAATGTTCCTGTGGGATACGTGAAATCCCCAAACTTCTGAATGTGCCACTCGTGAAAATTTTCGTACACCCTGAGCAGCCATCCTTGCTCAGGAACTTTTTGGCCTGAATCTCTGTCTAGCCAGCCAGGACTTTGTGTTTGCAAGCACTAAATTCCTGTCCAGAAATGTAATGTTTTTAAATTCCAAACTTTACTCTGAGAAGATTTTGTTCTGTCACTCAGCATCAGGTAAACTTAAAATGTCACTGCAAACCAGACATGTATTTGAGAAAGTTACCAAATTGGAGCTTAACTAGTTTTGTCTTTTTATGCTCTTACAGCAATTTGTAGCCAGTTTGTTTTCTGGATGTCAGACCTTTATAAAGCAAATGAGAAGGAGGTGTTTGAAAGTGAATTTAATGTTAAGAAAAAACATCAATGCAATTGTATGAGCTTTCGTTTTTTATCTATTACTATTTATAAATGTCTGCATCTAGATTAGGATTAAAGAGAGGCAGAGTTTGCACCAAGTTAGAAGCATGTCGGAGCTATTAAACCCCTCCTAGATTCACCAAACTTAAAATATTCAGTTAAATTAGTGCTGTGTGAGCTGCGAGTCATATTTGAGCATCACACTCTTCTCACAGCCCGGCCAAGTTTTGTGATTCACCCGCAAAATACTGAAGTGTTAGTTGGAGAGAGCGTTACCTTAGAGTGCAGCGCAACTGGGCACCCTCAGCCACGAATTACCTGGACCAAAGGCGACAGAAGCCCTCTGCCAAGTGACCCTCGCATCACGATCACTCCATCTGGAGGGCTTTACATACAAAACGTGAAGCAGGAGGACAGTGGCGAGTATACATGTTTTGCAACTAACAGCATAGATAATATCCATGCGACTGCATACATCATAGTCCAAGGTGAGTAACGTTCAACTAGTAGTGACATGCTGTAGAACATATTAAGACAGTATATTACTTTAAATTGTGTGGTTTTGTTTTATTTTCTGAATTGTCAGAGCCAAGCCAAAATGATAAGAGTTTTTCCTTTTGAATACACTATTCTAGTGTAGTCCACTAAAAAGTTAGTTTACATTTTACTCAGAGTAAGGTATTATAGAATCATAGAATCGTAACAGCTGGAAGAGACCTAGAAGTCCAGCCTTTGTCCAGCCCTATGAACCTACTAAACGATTCCTCCCAGCACAACATCCACCCATCTCTTAAACACCTCCAGGGACGGTGACTCAACCACCTCCCTGGGCAGCCTGTTCCAATGCCTGACAACCCTCTCAGTACAGAAATTCTTCCTAATATCTAACCTGAACCTACCCTGGCCCAATTTAAATCCATTTCCTCTTGTCCTATCACTCTCCATTAGGGAGAATAAACCAACCCCTGCCTTGCTACAACCTCCTTTCAGGTAGTTCTCTGAAAATTAAGTTTCATTGATTATTCTCTGAAGTTAACCGCTGGTGTTTTGAAATGTTTATTTCTTATTATGTTTCATTTGTCTATGGGAGTAAACATGCAGTGTCAAATTTGTGAGGGATTATTTTTTTTTCTGTAACAGGCCACAATCTTAGAGACTAGAATTTGTGCCTGGAGTACTAGAAATTGAATTTCAAGTACAGATTTGTGCTGCCTTTCTTTTGTAGGCTTCAGTGAATGTGGCAACATTTTTAGCTGATTTTCATGGAAACTGTCATGTTGCCAGCTGAAGTGTTAGCATAGCTTTTCTGCAAAAGAAAAGTGAAACTACTCTAACTTATCACAATCATAATAATTTTGGTATTGCATGCCAATAATATGAGTATAAAATATTTCAAGAACAATATATCGGAAGCCTTCCATATATATATATATGTGGATAATACATTTTACAAATGTCTTCATTCTGGAACTTTTATTTGCAAAATGATTTAAGTAACCTTTAAATTTAAAGTTTCTTTCTGTTCTCATGCTGAGATCTCTAGCTGGATAGCAGTTCAGGTTGGAAATCTTTATTGATAAGTTCGATATTTAGAGTTATAAAAAACCTCAAAACTGTCCATGTGGTTTGTTCGTTTATTATTCACCAGTGGATGATTGTATTCTGAGAACTGAACACATACTTCTCGCGCTGATAATGTCATGTTGTTACTGCAGAAATTGTCCCGCGCTCCACTCACTGCTGTCCTTTTGTGTAAAGAAGAAAACAAGCAGCTCAGGATGCTTTGACTACATTGCATTTTCTTCACAATTGAAATGAGGAAATTTTATATTTTTTTTTGAGAGATTGAAGTATTTTTAATTCAGAGAACACTTTGTGTTTGGTTTTACAATTCTTAACTGTACATATTATTTTGCACAAGTGGCTGCCCTAATTCTTTGCCCTGTAGCAGTCACAGTATAACAGAGTCCCACTAGGATCCCTTTTCACAGAATGTTAGGGGTTGGAAGGAACCT